CGGAAATGATGTAGTCACAGGTCAGCACATTATTGCTAAAAAGTGGAACATCTGAAGGCATCACGGGGAGGAAGCTTTGCGACAGGGTCTAGGATTTTACTGGATGTTTTCTCTTATCCTGCATTATTCCTTAATGCATCTCTATCCAACAGATCGGTGTAGGGCATACCTTTAGAAGTGATCTTCCCTCAAAACACTCCAAAACCCATCAGTCAATCAGCGAAGGTGAAGTCTGGTGTCGAGCGACCATCCCTGTTGACAGGTAGGGAGGGAGTGAGGTATGCGTGAAATCCAGGTATCGATGCAGTCATAGGAGATAAATGAATTTTTAATCTAGAACTGAGGTACCGAGCCTAATGCATGTAGCATGTCGCCTTCTCGTCAGAGGTGACACGCACCAGAGAGGTCACAAAGCCAGCTCTGGATACATAGAGGCATCAGTGACGTCTTGTAGTGGTGACCTGCTGGGCCAAAGGGCCAAAGTTTCGAGTGCCTTCTACATCTTCTAAGGTGACATCTCACAGATAGTGACTGGCAAACACAGTAGAAACAGCCTTCAATAACGGCGTGTGTCGAGCAGTTGCTGGGAAGCCTCTTAGACTTGTAAGATGATGGCTTGAAGCCAAAGGGTGATGGATTTGCAGCTGACTTCCACCTACAATGTTACTGATACTGGAATGAAGAGATGGCGGCATTGTCTACAATGATCCTTGGAATGGCGAATGAAACACCACAGCGCTTTCACCAGACATAGGAGCTCCTGCTCATCCTCAGCTCCCAAAATATCAACTAGAGGGGAGGGATGAGGAAGGACCTGTCAGGCTGTCCTGGGAGCTGATTCTTGGCAATAAAGTCCCAGCACAGTCCGTGGTGAACCGCTTCATGTGCTCCCTGCTCGAACCTGACACACGTAACATTCAGTGGGTTGATCTCGCTGATTTAGCCTTCTGGTCTTCCCAGTCGAGCGGAGTGAAGTAGTTCCGGGTTGTCATCTTTTTTATCTTCCGGAACTGCCAAGACAGAATTGAGGGCTACAGTGTATGTTGTGATAGTGCTTTCCTGCTTGTGACGCAGGAGGAGAAGGAACTCGACCAGAAATTGAGGAGACACAGAGATGGGGTCCTGTTGTTTTTCTTTACAAAAACTCTCAGTCGTACAGATTTCTGGTAGACAGCCTATGCGCTAAGGCAATATCTCTCACTGCCCTAACCGAGTAATCCTTGGCACTAAGGGCCCTTGGAAGATGGACCAGATGTGTAGATGTAACTTGTCTGGTGCCGGATGTGGTCGTTTACTGGGTGGATGAACCAGCCGATTCAGCCAGTCTGTGTGCTGGAGAGATCGATGAACAAACCTCTTGCTGGCTACCAAGGTGCAACCAAAGTCAGATCAAGGCTCTGTCGACCTGATCTTCTGAATGACCCTGCGAAGGAGTACTGGCGGCAGAAGAGCAGATGCATTTAGTCCATCCAGGGGACACTGAAATCGTCTTATGCCCAAGCCTGTAGTTCTGGTAGTTCTGGCAGTTCTGGCTGGTGGCAAACAGGTCTATGTTTGGACAGGCGAGGCTGAGCTCTGTGGGAGCGACTTTGTCCGGCCTGCAGAGGGCATCTGACAGAATGCTGCAACAGCCGAGGAGGTGTTGGACCCAGAACAGGAGCCCCAATTGATCGATCAGGTTGAAGAACCAGAATGTTTGCTGTAGGAGCGAGTGGGAGTGAGTCGTTCCCTGATTCCGGAGAACCAGACCATGGTGATGTTGTCCGTCGAGATGGTAATCCATGCGCGCTGGAAGGTTTGCTTCCAATGATCGAGAGCCAGTATGAGTGCCTCCAGTATGAGGTTGTTGATATGACATAGCTGTTGAGCAGCAGACCACAGCCCCAAGGCGACTTGACCCTCCAGGTGCGTCCCCATCCTTGAAGACAGGTGTAACAAGGTCATAAGCTCTGTCAAGGAGACGCCATCTAAGACGTTCGATTCCACGGTCCCCCACCGGAGATGAGGTTTGAGGTGGTCTTTGCATCTGATGTAGGTAATATGGAACATCTTTATTGGAGGTCAGGTCCTGATGTTAGGATGCCCAGGAGCACCTGCCACTGGCGCAGGGTGCGTCACTGGTGGAGTGCAGGGTGGAGTTGTATTCAGTGCCACCTGTCCGTGGGCACAGAGATGAGGTCTCAGTCGGTTTAAAAGTGGCCTCCAATGTATTGGAGACAGAATGACCGTGTGAGCTCTGATTTCCAGAGATTGATTATCCATCCCAGTAGGAGGAGGAGACGTTGTGTAAAATCACTGTGACGAAGGAGAGTGGCCTTTCCTGGTGGTTCAGGAGGCAGTCGGGATGGATCGGGATAAGGAGGTATGCGTCCTGGATGTCCAGGCTGAAAAGAGAGTTGTGAGCTTGTATCCTGGGCTGGAGTAGCCTGAGAATGGTCATCTGGAAGTATGGTGACAAGCCAGGTAGCACTAGTTGAAGGTGGCAAGATTTTGGATCATTCGGTATTGGTCTGAGTCCTTCTTGGGTACAAGGAATATTGGCAAATAGAAGACGTGTGTTATGGCTGGGAAGTGCACAATCTCTATTGCCTCTTCGGGCAGCAGCGTGGCCGATGTTTGAGCCCAGGAGCTGCTGTTGAGTAGGGATGTAGGTGTCTGCTATGGGTGACAACATTAGAGGCTGGTCGTCTCTCTGTGAGTTTGAACCCAAGGGTTGGTGACGTATGGGTCCACCAGGATTTCCCAATTCTGCCAGAATCATCCCAGTCTCCCACCTACAACTGGAACAACAAGGGGTGGGAGGTCAGAGCTGCTTGTGCCTGTCGCTTCACTTCTAGGCCTTGTCATCTCTGCTTCCTCCCTTGGAGCGGTCTCGGCAGGGCTGGTAGGAAGAGGAAGAGGAAGAGGAGGAGTCCCGTCCTCTTGATTGAAGTAAATCCTGTATAGGCTGATAAGTGCACAACTTGGAAGGCTGATACCCGGGTGTGGGTCTTGGAGACATGTTTGTTGAAGAGAAAGGTCCCAATTCATGAGCCCAAGGTAGCCCAGGTGACACGTAGTCGTTATCTCAACCAGAGCAGCGTGCATGACATATGTTCCACCTGCAGCTGGAGGTACAACACGACAGTGGTAAGGTGGTCCAATCGGTTGGGATTATCCTCTGAGAGGTCCTGACCTATGGCTCTGGAGGCGGCCATGACTTATAGAGGCTTGAAGGAGTGTCTGAGTTCAGTCTCCACATAAGTTGCTGTCGGGAACACGAATAGTGGTAGAGCAATTAGGACCTGTCATACGGTGGATATCCTCGTCCAGCGGGTGGGCATGGTCGGCGATGTCAAAAGAATGTACCAGGAAATCCTCCTTCTTTTACTTGGGCGCCTTGAACGAGGGTGTGAGAGACAACTTGGCGAAATCCTCGTCAAGAGCTGTAACAATGTCCTTAATCGTAGGGTCAGGTAGGACAGAAGTTGGGTTAGCCCATATATTTCTTGTCCACGCCTGAACCAAGGGAAGGAGCCACTGCCGCAATCCAGTCCGCCACCTCGTTCAGAACATGTAGAGAGTCATTGTCCAACACCGATCTCTGGTAAGATGGTAGAAAGGAGAAAGGAGTCGGACCAGTAGACCCAAGAGCGTCAAACTGGAGAGCGGCTCCTAAAACGACATCTAGACCGAGACGCCTTGCTTCCACTGCATTGTGAAGAATAGCCACGAAAAGCCGAGTCACGTGATCAAGAGGATCTGGCTGTAGACGAGCCTCACGTGTTCATGCTAGGTGTGTGTAAGGGCAGCTGTAGGGGTGCGAGTAGAGATGGCTGGGAAGACGCCAGGGGAGGCGTCTGAAAAGACGCTTGCACAAATGCTTGTGGAGGCGCTTGGAGAGAGGCTAGAGGTGCCATGGTCTAAGCTGAAGGCACCGGGTACAGCGGCATGGACTGATGTAGCAGCAGCTGCAGATAGTGGAGTCCATGTAAGGGGTCTGGTAAGGCTGTGGAGGCATTTATTGATAGATAGGGTGTCCCAAGCCCGGAGGCACTGACAGCATCAACTGCATAGGTGCTGTGGGAAACTGGTACATCTGCTGTAGTGGCATAGAGTGATCTACTGGCGCCACGCCAGCATCATCATCACGGCCATAGTTGAGTAGATGGAGGTTGTGGTAGCAAGCATAGGCGCCTGTGTAGAGATGACGATGGAGGTGGTAGGGGCCACGGCTGCTGATGACACTAGACAGGTGACGTGGCTAGGGGGTGGTAGGCTCAGATACTTCAGACATTTTCCTGACACGGTCTTTCAGTTTATGGGCATGCTGGGACTTTCGCTTCCAAGATTCTCGTAGGTAATGGTCAAGAGCTGTGGGGGAAAGCGGGAGACAGTCTTTATGTTTGGCTGACCGGGAGCACAGGGATGTGCAATGTAGGCCCAAGGGATGGAGATCCCACGCCGATTTATTACGGCGACACTTGCTACAAGATGGCATGTTATCTGCAATGAAGCAGAGTGTAGTCACAATGCGTCCCCACATTTACGCAAAGAACGCAAAACAACACCACTTTAATAAAAAATATTATTGCCAGAATCAAATAATGAAGTACCAGGCAATACAAAAGAACACAGAATGCATGCCACGAAAAAGCTTGACTACTTGAAACAACACAACACCTGAGATAACCATGGTGAAAACCACCACCAGGTGTTAAATCATTATGCTATGGCGTAAATCATATGAAATTTTGAAAACACAAACCGTAGGCACAATTTGTCACAAGAAATATTCATTATAATTATTAATACACAAAGGATCAATGAAAAAATGGGGAGAGGTCTTTCTTCTGTGTGTTGACAGCAGTAATGTGCTGATCTGTGACGTCATTGATTCCATGGTCAGGTGGGGGCTGTGTGATAGGGTTTGGCTCTCAGCTATTTGAAAACAATTTCTTCAACAGCAAGACCTTATTATTACTGTGTAACTGTATTTATGATCAAATAATTCAACTTACTCTCCACCATTCCACAGCTATGATTGGACTTGGAATGGCCATGAATCGTTTCCTATGCCGGAACCTTCGTCCAGCAGAGCCTGAAAAATAGATTGAGGATTGAGGAAATCTAAATATTGTTTACATTTGTATACTTAATGCATTTACTGCTTAAGTCTTTAAAAGGCATTTAAAAGTGATACACATTAGGAAGAGAATTTATGGATGTCAACTTCTTTATTATGAGGAACACAACATTTCGGAGTATATTCTTACATATTCATCAACTGATGGACCTCATCTTTCTGTACCAGACAAGTACATCATTTATCTGTACAATATACTGACCCCCATCTGTATGTACCATACAAGTACATCATCTATCTGTACCAGACAAGAAAATCACCTTGCTGTACCAGCCTCTGACCTCATCTATCTGTACCAGACAAGTACATCTCCTAGCTGTACCAGACACTGAGCCTATCTATCTGTACCAGACAAGTACATCAACTAGCTGTACCAGACACTGACCTCATCTATCGGTACAAGACAAGTACATCTCCTAGCTGTACCAGACACTGAGCCTATCTATCTGTACCAGACAAGTACATCATCTAGCTGTACCAGACACTGACCCTATCTATCGTACCAGACAAGTACATCATCTAGCTGTACCAGACACTGACCTCATCTATCTGTACCAGACAAGTACATCTCCTAGCTGTACCAGACACTGAGCTCATCTATCTGTACAAGACAAGTACATCTCCTAGCTGTACCAGACACTGAGCTCATCTATCTGGACCAGACAAGTACATCTATCTGGACCAGACAAGAACATCCCCTAGCTGTTCCAGACACTGACCTCTTCTATCTCTACCAGACAAGTACATCATCTAGCTGTACCAGACACTGGCCTCATCTATCTGTACCAGACAAGTGCATCATCTAGCTGTACCATACACTGACCTCATCTATCTGTACCAGACAAGTACATCATCTTTCTGAACTATACACTTACCTCATCTATCTGTACCAGACACTGACCTCATCTATCTGTACCAGACACTGAGCTCATCTATCTTGACCAGACAAGTACACCATCTATCTGTACCAGGCAAGTACATCATCCATCTGTACCAGACGAGTACATCATCTATCTATACCAGACAAGTACATCTTCTATCTGTACCAGACAAGTACATCATCTATCTGTACCAGACAAGTACATCTTCTATCTGTACCAGACAAGTACATCATCTATCTGTACCAGACAAGTACATCATCTATCTGTACCAGACAAGTACATCTTCTATCTGTACCAGACAAGTACATCATCTATCTGTACCATACACTGACCTCATCTATCTGTACCAGATACATACATCATCTATCTGTACCAGACAAGTACATCATCTATCTGTACCAGATAAGTACATCATCTATCTGTACCAGACAAGTACATCATCTATCTGTACTATACACTTACATCATCTGTCTGTACCAGACAAGTAAATCTTCTATCTGTACTATACACTGACCTCATCTATCTGGACCAGACAAGTACATCATCTATCTGTACCAGACAAATACATCATCTATCTGGACCAGACAAGTAAATCTTCTATCTGTACCATGCACTGATCTCATCTATCTGGACCAGACAAGTAAATCTTCTATCTGTACCATGCACTGATCTCATCTATCTGGACCAGACAAGTACATCATCTATCTGTACCAGACAAATACATCATCTATCTGGACCAGACAAGTACATCATCTATCTGTACCATACACTGACCTTATCTATCTGTACCAGACAAGAAAATCATCTATCTGTACCAGACACTGGACTCATCTATCTGTACCAGACAAGTACATCATCTATCTGTACCATACACTGACCTTATCTATCTGTACCAGACAAGTACATCATCTAGCTGTACCAGACACTGGCCTCATCTATCTGTACCAGACAAGTACATCATCTATCTGTACTATACACTGGCCTCATCTATCTGGACCAGACAAGTACATCATCTATCTGTACCATACACTGACCTCATCTATCTGTACCATACACTGACCTCATCTATCTGTACCAGATAAGTACATCATCTATCTGTACCAGACAAGTACATTATCTGTCTGTACCAGACACTTACATCATCTATCTGTACCATACACTGACCCCCATCTATCTGAACCATACACTGACCTCATCAACCTGAACCAGGTCTTTATACTTATACTTGGTATTCACATTTATATTTCATGATCCCCTACTTTTTTCAAAAGAGTATATAAATCAATGCAATCATCATGTGTCTATCCAGGTTTCCTGCTCACCAAAGTAAGCACTTACTGTTACTGTGTGGTAAATCCACATAATCAATTTCCTTCCTGAGTGTTTCATATGTGGTGATGACTACATCACAATCAGCCAGTGTCTGCGGCTGTATGAAGCCTTGCTTGCTCACTCCAGTGTACACCTGCAACCATCAATGTCAAGATTTAGTCTTCAAGTTATGTTTTCATGAAAGCTTCCCACATATAGTCTGGAAGTTAATTTAAGGTACCGATGTTTACTACAATATCTGAAAAACTATTTGACCTACTCCAGTCAAAGTTGGTATGAGATTATTAAACATTCATACATAACTGGATATTACATTTAAAGACAATTGGTGCATCAATAAAAAATCTGTCTATTTAGTTATCACTATATTTCATCAACAACCAGACCTGTTCATCACGGGTGGAACGAGCATTCATTTTAACAGCCATCTGCATAATGCTACCCCTGCGTCACAGGGCCATATGACACAGTTGAACCAATCAACTCAACTCGAAAGGTTGCACCTGAATCACGCACGCACAAATACAGTGTTAGTGTTGGGCGTCTCAAGCAGTTATTTATTAATATTTATCCATATATTTTGCATTCTTTTTTCAGGTCAGTGTTATTGACTTGAATGTAACATTCCTTGACACATTATTATATTTCATGCATCATGCTATTAGGTGTAATATATCATACGTAATTATTCATTTAGACAAATCATTGCTTTATTGTTTCGAAGAAAATATTTTAATATTTTCGTAGATGATTCGAGACTTTCGGGGCTGTTTCGGGTGAAAGAGAATCAAATTCTGAGCCAAGAATTGCACAAAGTGGACAAGATCCGATTACGACATGTACTACAAAGCACGAACCTGAAATTTGTAGACGATTCCTAGAAATTCTTTGATAAACAAATTTTTTCTCACGAATCCCACGAACTACAAGAATGTTTGGGAATCAAATAAGATATATATTAGATTCTTAAGAAATGATTAAGAATATGTACGAATATGTAAGAATTCATATCAGTGGTAATTCGGGCTATTACATGTCGTAGTGAAACAGGGGTATATGTATTGCACTATTTTTGGTCCCACAAAATGCCCTCGTCGTCAGATTCGGAGTCTGTGCTGTCACCTAAATAAACAAACAACAACAACAACAGGCTGGACAGTATCTGGTTGGATACAGTATTGTTTCCAATACTCTTCCTCAACTTTGATAACATGTTGGACACAGTTTGCCCAACGTACATCTGTAATTTCTCCCATCCCTTTCAAGACAATCTGCTTGACTTTGGCAAGCTTGAAGGTCTTATTTTGCCGTGCGACCATATTTTTCAAATCACCCCAGATTAGTTTGATGGGATTCAAGTCACAATGGTAAGGAGGAAGTCTAAGCACTTCGTGACCGTGTTCTCTCAACATGTTGTCAATCAAATAAGATGGCGGGGGTTTGTTCTGAAGAACCAGTTGGTAGTAGTCAGTATTTTTGGCTTTCGTGGGCCGAGCAATGCGGTTGTTGTCCAACCACTGACATATCTCACCTTTGTTGGAATTTGAGGTTGGACAAGGGTTAATAGGATCTCGACAAATGTGATAGGGAGCATTGTCCATAACCACCAAGGATTTATCAGGCAGTGCTAAGAGGAGCAACATACGTAGTGAAAACCTGACTATTCATCTCGGTATGGTAGTCTCTGCCATCTGTAGATCTGGATCTGAACACTAGATCACACCCAGGGAGGAAACCTCTGTGGGAGCCTGCATGGACGACAATCAGGCACTCCCCTTTACCAGGGGGGATCTTGCGCTGCGATCTCTTGTATCTGGGTGAGACCATTGGTAAGCCGCTGTGTGGCAGGCGTTAACCCAGGTTTCGTCCAAATAGACAGGCTCATAGCCTTTTTCTCGTTTCTTTTTATTAGTGCACAAATAATTGATACGCAAACGAATGATATCTGGTCGTTCACACATTGCTAGTTTCGACCCTTTCGTCTTTTTGTACTGATATCCAAATTTGGAAAGGAGTTTACAAATGGTCCATTTGGAAATATCTAAGTCATGCTCTGTAAGGGGAATTTGTTTTAGTTTTCGTGTTGAAATAAATTCATTTTCTCGTGTTAACCGCCAAATCACGTCCCTGACAACTTTCTTATCAAAGGAATCTAACTTTAATTTCCTAAGGGATGTGCAGGGGAGCGTGTGTTTTTATGAAAGTTCAAAATCTTAACTACGGTTTGTTTGGGAAGCTGTAACCCATGAATTGTTCTTTTCATGTACTTTGAAATGTCAAAGAAGGGCGAACATCTTTCACTTTCAGCCTTAAAGTATTCAAATATTTTAACAACGAAACCTTACACATCAGCAGAAGGATGCTTGCGCTGAGACATCCTGAAATCTAACGCTAACACCGTATTCGTGCGTGCGTGATTCAGGTGCAACCTTTCGAGTTGAGTTGATTGGTTCAACTGTGTCATATGGCCCTGTGACGCAGGGGTAGCATTATGCAGATGGCTGTTACAATGAATGCTCGTTCCACCCGTGACGAACAGGTCTGGTTGTTGATGAAATATAGTGATAGCTAAATAGACAGATTTTTTATTGATGCACCAATTGTCTTTAAATGTAATATCCAGTTATGTATGAATGTTTAATAATCTCATACCAACTTTGACTGGAGTAGGTCAAATAGTTTTTCAGATATTGTAGTAAACGTCGGTACTTTAAATTAACTTCCAGACTATAGTTGACATTGAAAACACATTGTTTACACTCCATTATGAGACAGTGTTAACATAATGGTGTTTGTGATTACAATGGATGTAGGAAGAGCCTGAGAGTATTTCAACTGTTCAAATAGAATCAGAACAAACATTCCTTCTCTTGTTATCCAAAGATTTATTAACTTTAACATGTAATATTCCTCAGATTGATTCATTCAGCTCTCAACAATGTAATGGTTGTTTTTCCAAGCACTGGCATGTATAATCTGTACAGTTGGGGTAATGATCATGGTAATAAATAAGAAAATCCTCCTAAAAATTCAATGACATCATTTCTTTACAAGTTTTTGTGCTGAATTAATTAAATTAAACATAATTCTTTTCCCTGAAAGTAAACATAGATTTCAAATGAAAGTAATATAATTGTAACTAATTGATGGAATATATATTTTCATATTTATGGGAACAATGATAGTTCTGTACATCAATTATGAAAATAGAAATTGGAAACAAATTATTGATTAAATTTTAATAACACTTAATCTGCCATGACAGTGAAGAATGTTTGGTTCTGATTGGTCAAAATATTATTAAAATCAGTTATCTAAGTCCATTTGATATCTAAAACTTAACATGCGTTTTCACACAAAAACCTTGTGTCAGTAAAGGCTTGGTTCCAAATTAAAATAAGAGATATCAAATCTACAGTTTGACTATCTCAAATTTCAAAATACTGTTGGTTTATCTCCAAAATGAATTTCTCAATGTTCAAAATGAAAGTAAAATAAATTCTGTATTATGTAGAAAATACAAGTTGAGATTTATAACACATTCATTCTCAGTGTTATGTGTCACAATTAGTACAATACAGGTAAATTAGTTTTATCATTTTTAAAATACATTTTCATGGAATCTGCAGTGAAGAATAAATAGAGTCCCACGAAGGCAAGTGGCTGGATAACAAGTTGGAGGATATATACCCTGTGTATAAAATATCACCACCCAACTGGACACAACTAATGCATCCATTGATTTTTCATTCTATCAGTGTTAGCCAGATCAATCAATACTTACAGATGTTCCCACTGATAATCTAAAAGCCTAGGAAACAGTCATGAAAACACCTCACTGAACACTACTTTGACAGAAAAGATCATGCTTTTGTTGATAAACCAGACAATCCTGATGCACCAAAGTTGTTGAAGCAGCAGACTAGTTGGACATAAATTTCGTTAAGATTTTTAAAACAAAACATTTTCAGTGCCTCAAAGTTTCTTTGACCTACAGTAAACGCTTATTGAGGCTTTGTTTGAAACTTTTCTCAGGCAATGACCTTTGAGTATGGCCTTGTCATGATTGATCAGCACAACATGTTTTCAGAAACATAGTGTGATGGTGGCACTGATAGTCAATATCTGACATAACCTTAAAACATACCTATTAACAAGGGGTTGCTTGATGTACATGCAAGTTGAATAAATGATTGATACTTTTCTAGTTTCTGTTTGAAGCAAGGATGAACTTGAGACTTACAAACACATGGAGTGTCTCTTGTCGGACATGTTTCTTGATCTCCTCCTTCCACTGGTGGCAGATGGAAAAAGGGGAGATAATCAGAGTGGCACCTGACGGAATTGGGGACTGAAACACATGAAGATACATAACAATTTATACAGGGAGAACTGTCAGAATGTATAGTATTCAAAAACTGTATGTTATGTGCAGGAGACAAACATATCACAAATTATTAACATGAGGATGGCATGTGGGAAACAAAGGATTTGAACGGTCATTGTTTACTTACTGACGATACATGGCAGTGTGGGCACTTATAGCATCCCCGGTAGGCGTTGTTGAGGTCATAGTGCAGACACTGTGCATGTTGCCATAGGCCACAGACAACACACTGCACATTAGTCAGCTTCTTTTTCTTGCTTCGTCTGTCATTTGTATCACCTCCACAAACACATTCAAACCACTGTTTCTGACTGATGTGCGTATTAATGAAAAAGGTGGCTGGTTTAAAACCATTCTCCTCAACTAGAATGTGAAATTTCATGTTTTTCTCGCTCTTCCCTGACTTGTTCAGGGCTTTAGTTTTCCTTGCAACATCTGCTGTTATCATCATCCTTTTCTTTTTGCCAAAAGTTAACCTTTTGTTCTTGCGCCTTCGTAACACTTTGTCTGCTGTAGGTTGTCCTGGCAGCCCAATGCTTTGTACATCAGATTCATTGGAAGATAAGGCACCAGAATCATGACAGTTCATGTCACAAATCACATCTTCATTTGACATGCTCTTTAAATTGTGAATGGATGAGTTACTGCCTTTTTCATGTTCACTAACTTCACAGATATGTGTAGATAAAACCAGAACCTTAGGTTTCGTATTTTCATCCATAGCCTTCATACAGCCACTGCTGATGCCTGACATCAGTTCTGTGTTCTGGATGTACTGATGACTACCAACTGATGGAGGATTGTCACTCATTGTGACTGATGTCAGTTCTGTGTTCTGGTTGTCCTGATGACTACCAACTGATGTAGGATTGTCACTCATGGTGACCGATGTCAGTTCTGTGTTCTGGTTATCCCAATGACTACCAACTGATGTAGGATTGTCACTCATGGTGACCGATGTCAGTTCTGTGTTCTGGTTGTCCTGATGACTACCAACTGATGTAGGATTGTCACTCATGGTGACCGGTGTCAGTTCTGTGTTCTGGTTGTCCTGATGACTACCAACTGATGTAGGATTGTCACTCATGGTGACCGATGTCAGTTCTGTGTTCTGGTTGTCCTGATGACTACCAACTGATGTAGGATTGTCACTCATGGTGACCAATGTCAGTTCTGTGTTCTGGTTGTCCTGATGACTACTAACTGATGTAGGATTGTCACTCATGGTGACCGATGTCAGTTCTGTGTTCTGGTTATCCCAATGACTACCAACTGATGTAGGATTGTCACTCATGGTGACCGATGTCAGTTCTGTGTTCTGGTTATCCCAATGACTACCAACTGATGTAGGATTGTCACTCATGGTGACCGATGTCAGTTCTGTGTTCTGGTTGTCCTGATGACTACCAACTGATGTAGGATTGTCACTCATGGTGACCGATGTCAGTTCTGTGTTCTGGTTGTCCTGATGACTACCAACTGATGTAGGATTGTCACTCATGGTGACCAATGTCAGTTCTGTGTTCTGGTTGTCCTGATGACAACCAACTGATGGAGGATCAGTCCTAAAATTGTGCAATCCAATTTTACTGTGTTCCAGTGTAGTGATCTCCTGCAAAAAACATAAACATATACATATTGATGATAACTTCAGAATACACCAGTCTTTAGCCAATCTTGCTAAATACTTGATAAACAAATGTTCCGACGAAATATTTAAAAAAATAGTGACAATGCTCTATTGCTCTTTAGGAACTTTCAAGTGAGCTTTGGCCATCGATTGAGGAAAGTGTGTATAGTAACTGGCAGTGATGCAAAAGGTCAGCAATCTCAGGGTTTCCCAACCTGAACACTGGTTTCATTTGTTTTAAAATTTTATTTGCTGAAATGCTGGTCAAATTCCAACAAAATCTTAATGCATCTTTGTGTTTATGAGGCTGTGTAATTGATAACCCATATGACTGACCACTGACATATGCTTGACAGATTTTTGTCAACTTTAAGAAAAAAAAGCTGCCAGGATAAAATGCACTATTGCAGTGCTAGATGTCCTACCAAAACATCTGAAAGGATATGCTAAAACATTTTCCACAAATGATTATATACTGAAAAACAAAAATGTCAATTTCATGCCATGAACAAATTCAAGCCACTTGAAGGTCCACCGCTGTTTTCAGTTTAATTGCAGGACATACATGCCAAAACTCAAAATGTGGCCGATATCGGTTATATATAAATGCACTCTGTCATCGAATAAAATACTGGCTTAAAGATACAGAAATGCACACTGACAGAATTCCGAAGAAAGTCTGTAATATGCTTAAGTACCATGAAAACTGTGCATACCAAACCTATGTATCTACTGTACACACTTCATTGTTTTCACATGGATTTGGAGTTAAATGGATTGATCAGCGTGTTGGAGATACATTTGCTTTTCTTTGTTTGTATAAAAAGGTTGCAACTGATATATATCATCAATCATGAAATAGTATAAAAGCACATAGCTCAAGCAAGATGTAACATATATAAAGCGTTTTAAAGCCTAATTAAACCTGAGAAGTACCTTGCCCTTTTAACAGATAGAAAACAATGTAATACAGTAGAACACGGATATAACGAACACAGATATAGCGAACAAACGGATACAACGAACTGTTAAAAAATCCCTGATTTATCTCCTTTATTATATCATATAAAATTTACGTATATAACGAACTCTCTACAGCGAACTAAGGGATACAGCGAACTTATATCTGATTACCGACAAGCCCATCTATCACTTATTAGTGACGTGTATAGCGAACTGAGAAATCTCACTCAGTGTCAAGTGTCACTGACAATTGGCTGTACGCAATCAGTGGCGAATCAACACAATGGCGGTGAATCAATACAATCAGCGGTGACGATCAACCTTGTTTAATTTGCATTGTGTTAATCTTACCTGTACATGTAATCTTGTCTGTAAAACAAACATTAAACATAAAAAAATTACGAGATTGTGTCCAAGTGTCAGATCACTTGCATATGCTATCATGGCGGGCAATAGTAAGAGGAAAGCTATCAGTTTAGACACGAAATGGAGAATTATTAATGCTGTTGATCCAAGATGGCGGACGTTTCCGAGTGAAAAAGTGTATAAGGAACAACGGATATAACGAACTGATTTCTCTGGTCCCTTTTAGTTCGTTATATCCGTGTTCTACTGTATGTGGATAAGACTGAGAATGGGGTTGTTAGGGTTGAAAGTTAGCTAAGGAAGATGGTTGGGGATTTATTTTAGTTTACATTTATGACCTCTGTTTAATCCAGGTATATAAGATGAATATTATTTTATCTTAATATGTAACTCCAATAAGAACATAAGACACCTCTAACTGTCTAAAATGTATTGGCATAATCTGAATATGTATATTTAGAATGGACTCTGTCTTTGAACGATGTAAGGTTACTAAGAAACTTTGTCAAAACTATGAGACAAAGTTTAGCAAATACTGGAATACTATTATATAAGCTACTTGTGAATTCATGTACCATTGTAATATACTTATATGCACTTTATCTGTATATGGGCCAGTGGCCTTCATATGAACAAAAGACTTCACTTGACACTATTAACTAAAACATGTTACTACACTACCAAATTACATTTAGTGGGAAAATGCATGTAAAGTTTCATCAAGTTGCAGCTTCATTGGGCCAATGGTTTCTGAGGAGATGATGTGTTTACTACTCAAAAGAAGGACATGTCATGCAATGACAGATTAACCAAGTAATATGAAAAAATGAGGTGGTCCTTAGGGACCAACCATTTGATATATTTTTTGAGACAGCTGCAAACCCAGATATTTTTTCAATTAAAACTATGAGCCAAAATATTTGTTTCTAAAAAACACATTTGTGGCAGACAATTTCCTTTTTTTCAAACAATTAGGAGCATACAGGGTAATTAGTTTTGTGATGTACATATGAGATGGACATTTTCTGTGATGGGGTCATATGAGAGAGATGTCAACAGTTTCTGTTGGTTGGGTCAAATGAGAGAGATGTCCACAGTTTCTGTGGATGGGGTCATATGAGAGAGATGTCCACGGTTTCTGTTGGTTGGGTCATATGAGAGAGATGTCCACAGTTTCTGTGGATGGGGTCATATGAGAGATGTTAGAACCTACCTTCTGATCACAGTAGATAAACAGTTTCTGCAGATGGGGTCATATGAGAGATGTCAGAACATTCTCAAGTCGAAATTAAATCGACAGTTAAATTGTCAGTTGTCGCCATTGTGTCCAGGCCTAAACGTTCGTAGCACATCAGTATCAAAGGAGGTGGGACTCCTTCCTCCGACTTTTTATCCGGTAGTATGCATCAACAGTACACCTATGCAGGGTTTTACTGATACTATTTAATGGCAACCCGCAGATCCCGACGGTTCAATCGTACGAATGTGGCCAGTGCATTTTACACAGGAACTCATCTGCAAAATGGTGATTTAGCGGATACCCATGCAAGGGGATCATCTCATGACACCAACAGCGGGACTACCAAGACTTCTTGGGCCCTTCGTAGATACACTAACAACCCTCAGGGTGTTATGGACCCCAACCCTCAAAACTGGTATATTTCGCAACTCCGCCAACACATAGCAGAGGAATTGGTGACCGTAGACTTGCCAACATCAATGACGAAGGCACACATCTCTACACACGCAACTCTACCTCTAGCAGAAATGGACAACAAAGGACATTAGAGGAGGAGAACTTGCAATCAAGCATTAATCAGGACAATAATGGGACAACCTTACAAGCAATAGACACTCAACATATGAATTCCATGACGTCACCACCTGGCAAGGTCGACCAAAGAAAAGTTAACCTATCAGTGTTGCTGCAGACTGTGAAATCCCTTTTAGACACAGTCTCCATGCTCACAAACAACATTCTGCCAGCTCATAACCGAATCTCACCACCAGAACCAGGGACCAGCAACTGAGGGTGAATGTATGCACACAGAACCAGCTTTGCAATTCATCACCTCAGATCCAGGCCACAGTACACCCTTGCCACAAGAATGGAGGGAAACATGTTCGAGATTGGAACAGTGAATTGCATTTCATATGAACTCCTGATCAATGACTGCATCAGCCCCTTTCCATGCAGAATTTTATAACAGTATTTTCATGATAAAAGCGGATAGTGACTGAAGTTTATGGTTGTTGGTCTTGGGAACTCGATGAATATCTACAAAATATCATTACACTGAGCACAGAGACAACTAATTCTCAATGTTTAATACCATAAACTGTTCTCTGCCAAAGCTGCCGCAGCTATTGAGCAACTGAATCAAAGACTTTACTGGGGAACGATAGATCCAGACATCCACAGGAAAGTTTTCATTTCCAAGCAAGTCAACCAGTGTGATCTGTACCAGGACGTAAGACACATAACGGAATTCTGCCTCTATCAGCAGAGGCATGTCAAACCACATGGCAGGTTACCCAAAGTTTCCGAGGACAGGTGCGCACCCCTGGCAGTTCCCAATCCTATGGACTCAAGAGGACAACCAATCGTGTTCTTTCAAGGTCAGAAAGTGTGCAATAACTACCAAGACAACTATTGCACATTCCCACAGTGCCGTTCCTAACACATCTGTGTTACCTGCAAGATACCCCACCCTAGAAGTAGATGCCAGCAAGACCGGACCCCTGATTCATCAGACAGTACTTGCAGGAATTGGAAACAGCAAAAATGACTCGGCTTACAACAGTTGGATGCAATTCCATTATTATTGATTATAGACAGTCTCCAAACCAAACAAGAGTTCGGCACTCACGTGGCTTTATCCCCCGCCCCTGTTGCAGAATTTATGACATAATTAAATCGAAACAAACCCTAATCTTTTTTAACCGAGGTGGAACTTGTCATGGAAATTGTAAAAAAAAGAAGAGTTTGGAATCTAAGTCCATCTTGTTGCCATGGAAACATAAAAAATACAAATTTCTAAATAGCAAAAGGCACCAGTTCAGCATGTACCTGACAGACCTGCAAAGTTTCATGAAAAAATATTGAACGGTTTCGGAAACGAAACGTGACGGACAGACGTACGGACGGAGCCCGTTTCTATATCCCCCGCCAACTTTGTTGGGCGGGGAATAATTACAAGTTCACCCAGACCAAGATACGGCAGAGAGCATCCTCCAACTAAGTACAAAGTATGTCAGAATTTGCAGTCAACCCATGGGTTACACAATGCCACCTTTGATTCGGGACTGGTGAACACTGAGCTGCACAAAGGTTATACAAATCAGTGAATTCTTGCTGGTTCAATTATTTTATTGCCTTTGAACTTCCTTAATGCCAGTCAACAGAATAAACATATAAACTGTGTGTTGTTTTTAGTAAAACACTCTTTATTGTTTTAATGGAGGTGCTCTTCTCAGTGCTAATAAGTGGTGCTATTTACTGTTTGATTGGATTAAGGTAAGTTTGGATTAAGGTAAGGATATGTATCATTCCACTGGGGATGGGGTAGGGGGAGGCGCATTGGTACTGAGTTGCATTTTTTGCTTGAGGTCAGCATTAATTTCCTACATCACAGAATAAAACGGAAGTATTTGAAAAAACAAAGACTCATAGTGGACATGACAGCACCACACAATGATCTACTTAACCCCAGCTTAAACTCGCTGATTGATAAAGAGAAGTACTCCTCTCCTATGTCAATGCAGATGATGCCATCACCTTCATTAAGCCATTGGTTCCTTTCTGTGCAAGACTGACAGATGCTTGTAAGTTAGTCTCTATTCACACAAGTATCTGGCATATCTACACAGCATCAAGTGTCAAGGACAACTATATCATTTTGCATGACTGGTATTCGGGTGTAGATCCAACCCAAAAATCTTCGACACACTCTCCACAGCCATCTGCTGGAAAGCCAAAAACTGTTACAACATTACATATATTCTACATTTGTTGGATGATTTTATATGTATATGTATGAATCACTGACCAGAGGGTATATGGTTATATCAGCACTGATACAGATGTTCGAAGACCTTGGCATCCCATTAGCAGCACACAAGACCATAGGGGACCCACCACATGCCTTGAATACTTGGGTATCACTTTAGGCTCTGTCTACATGGAAGTCTGTCTACCCGAAGACAAGATTCCTCATATCTTGGCCATCATTGACAGTCTGCTACTTCAAAAGATTGTCAACTGACAGAACATGTTGGTGGTGTTAGGACACCTGAACTTTGCCAGGCAAGTAATTCGACCTGGATGTTCATTTATGAGCTACCTGTTACAACTTGCTCATTCAGTACCAAATTTATATGATAACTTTATCTCAATGAAGAATGCAGGATAGACTTTGACATGTGGAGATAGTTCTTGCGGTGTTCAATGGGGTGTCTATGTTTATTCTGGAAACAGATATCACGTTGTTCACAGATGTTTCAGGTTCTTTGGCTATGGAGGGTATTTTCAAAGACAATGGTTTTCCTCACCATGGCCACAAGCACTAACTGAATAGGCCGGTCAAGAAATGTCTATAGCATTGTTGGAATTGTATCCCATAGTATCAGCGGCAGTGTTATGGGGCCACAGGTTGGGCAGGAACTGCATCAGATCTCATTGCTACAACACAGCCACTGTCCGTATTGTGAACAAAGGCTGATCAAAGTCTACTATTATCATGAAGTTGATGAGAAGGTTGATACTAACTGCCATAGAGTACCATTTTGTGTTTGTAGCCAATCACATACCTGGGAAGGTAGTGATGCACTCTCTCGGTTGCAGATCACGAGATTCCTAAAGTTTGCCCCAGAAGCTTATCGATTGCCAACCCTGTGTCCCACCATGGCCAAGACGAAGTATCCATAACGGAGAAGATGCACATGGCAGAATTCGACCTCGAACAGTTATGGTCTTGTGCAGTGTCAGAACGTCCCATGTGTATCAGTCAGGTTAAGAAACCTTCATCAGATTCATGGCCTTGTATGATGTAGTTTGGGGCAGCGAACTGCTCCCTTTGTCAGAACAGACACTGTTGCTCTTTGTGACCTACTGTTACAAAACACTCAGTCTACGGTATTCAACCATCAAGTCCTATGTTTGTGGAGTGAAATTTGTGTACATGAGAGCAGGTGCAGATAATCCATTGGTGACAGGGTCCCTACAGACCATTGTTCATGCAATTATGAGAAACCAGTGTCCTTCCAATTGGTCTGACTGCCAGTTACCACTAAGGTGCTGAGTGACATGTGTCATGTGTTAAACCAATGTGCTTTCCTTAGAAGTTTAGCCTTCTTCATGAAAGCATGTGTTGCTTGGCCTTCTTCGCATTTCTCAGATGTGGGGAATTTACATGTGAGGTATTCCACTGATTCACTTGTGCTTTAATTCAGTGGGTCTTGCCAACAACTTATCTCACTTCAAACTCAAGTTAAAATCATCTAAAACTGAACCATTCCGACAAGGTATCACCCTCACAATTCACAGAGTAGGCAACAACATCTGTCCAGTTTCGAGTATGTTCACCAACCCACTCTGGTGGACCCAGGCGACTCGGCAACCTGAGGCCCCCCTATTTGTGTCACTGGAGAGAAAGGCTCTATCAAGAACTTTCTTTATCAAGCAACTAAAGATTCTATTAGCAGCAGCTGGTTACCAGAATCATACAATGGACACTCCTTCAGAATTGGTGCTGCTACATCTGCAGCAGCAGCAGCCATACCAGATGACATGATCAAGACACTCGGACGTTGGTCATCTCGGCGCTACGTACACCTTATTCAAACATCAGAAGAATCCATTGCCGGGGCTCCTAGATCACTGTCTGCTGCTCGCCAAATGCAACACTAAGCCTTAGCTTGGCTACCATGTATTTGTACGCATGCCTCTGGGACACTGATAACTTGAGTGTAGTCAGTTTGCATCGATACTGCCAAAGTGTGTTTTGATGTAATTGAAAAACATGTACCATGTTTTGAAACCCATCAAAGATAGCAATTTCTTTACTGCAAGACTAATAGTTTAGTTGGCAAGATTAGCCACTGTTGGTCTGCATGCTTTTTGTTACCTTCTTGTTTGTATATGTATATGTAGTTCAATGTCATCCAAACAGATTTTGTTCGCCACTATCTTGAGTCCTGTCATTATCAGACAGCAGTCTAGTGCTTTAGCATGTTTAGTCATGAATCCGTCCAGGTGATTTATCATCTATATGAACATGATGCGGAAACAATTTAAATTTTTCACAGTCGCAAACTTGTTGTCAATGCTGTGTCTATAATTCACCATAATGTATTCAGTGCAATGTATATGTTTTTTCTATTAAACTACTTCTTATGGGGAATTCTGAGTCATCTCTTAATATTTTAAACCAACTGATCATTTGGCAGTTATCCACAGATCCTCTTGTGGATCTTTTCCCCCATATGTACAGTAATCTAAGGCTCTCCTGTCAATCTAGTTTACTCAGTCAACAGGACACGTAGTCGGTGTCATAGACTCCTGCTTGTTTGGCTTGACTGGGGTGGTGGTCACCATGGTACTTGATCACAAGCTGGTGCACTTACCTTTTAATTCCAACCAGCAAGGTCATCCTGACAATCAGCGCAAGTAGCTGGGGTGCACATACCCCTACTTGTGTGACCTGGCTTCAGGACATTGGTACAATGTGAATCTCCCTCCGCCAAATCTTGATAAATCATTATTTCTGCATCATCTGTATGTTGTTTGTCATTATAAATATCGACTTATATGAATACTATTGACAATACCATTAGCATTTATAATTGCAAACAATTGCAACAGATCAGTAGTTTGATATATCATTACACTCCTTGAACCTACCTCCTGATCACATGAGAAAGACAGTTTCTGTGGGCGCGGCAGACTGGTGCGAGGATGCAGGAGAACACAGCTGAGTACCTCCACTGTTTTCCCAAGGCCCATTTCATCTGCAAGAAGCCCACCGGGAGGCCAGCTGCTCATAAGGGGTTGTTTCATAACAAGCCTGGAAAGGAAGAACTGAATAATGACCACGTCGTTCAGGTGGAAATGTTAGGTATGAAAAATTATTGAGTTTGTAGAAAATCTGTTAAATATTTAAGCTCTTGTTTGACTACTTATCAAAATGTAAGCAATAATTATGAACATTTTAATCTTTCTACAAAAAACAAACATTAAGGAGGTGCAATCTATATTCTCTGTCACAACATGCTGAGTGTGTTTACAATGACATGTTCAATCACACTGGTTATTTTAGAAATTAGAAGAATGTCTCACAAATATATCTACATCATGATACTTTTTTTAGTGTCAGGTAAATCTGTCCATGAATTGCATTATATATATATATGGACTGTGAGCAGTGCTACCTGGGCAGTAGACTAAATTACTACAAATATTTTCTTCAGATATGTAACAAATTATGAAAACAAATAAGAAACTATGTTGAGTGCCAGGGTAGAGGTAAGTGCTTTAAATTCATGGGGATTGTTAATCGGGGGAGACAGCAATGCAGCATGTTGACATGCCTCCAAAAATACAGTGTTGATGTCAGCCATCTAAGAAGCTACAGGAACATCCTGGAGATTTCTAATTTCCTGAAGGTAAAGTAGAAAATCAGCAACAAACTGTGTTGATACTTTTTTAGGTCAATCATCCTTTCACCGATTACAGACAGCAAACAACCGCCAACTGTTGTCAAAAGTAAAAACATGGAATTGCAATGATGTGTCACTAGCCTGAGACGCTCAAGCAGAGAATCCATAATATGAGCCACACATGCAGAGCTAACAATTCCATGGTTGGATGTGGCTGCAAGTGTGTGGCTGCCGTAAAAGACAGCGCCACACCAGTAGTTGTTGTAATTGCCACTTGACGATGTATGGATAAAACATACAGTTGGGCCAATAAGTTGCAGCTAAAACAGTCATAGGGCTTTCATGGACTTGATCTTATCAGCCTGTACAGTCTGAGTCCCTGTGAAGTGGAAGGGAAACAATGAGGATATTTACACATTAAGAAAACAGTTGGTCCTGATTATTATCACAATCAATCGCATCTGGATCTAACTGAGATCTCTTGATGACATGCATGTTAACCTTCAGCCTGCTGAATTGGATATACTGTAGGATAAGGCGCTGTAAAGGGAAACCATTTACTAATTCATCTGATCCTAGGGGATGGTTTTCCCACCAAAAGGCAATATGGTAATAGCCACTGGTGGCGCTATAAGCGCTTGATGTGACAACACCATGTAATGTCAAGCTGTTTTCAAAATATATGCCAAGGTAGGAAGCATATACGACACTGCCAATGCTAGGAGATAACTTGGTATATGATCAACACTCCTGACATCAACATGGTATTGACTGATATGTATAGAGCCAGAATCGGCTCGTTTATCCACCCGAGGGGAACTCGACAAGTGACGCTGCACAGAGACAGTGAGTACTCGACATTCGTGTCTGGGAATGATGTTCATTTCAGACTTCTCATTTGCACCATTGCATTTGCTATACACCACTCTGTATCCTTCGCCATGCTCAATCATTTAAAAAAAATGAACTTTGATAGGTATTTGCCAAAAGAATATAGCTCTTTCTGTGTATCATGTGTCGTCACTGCGATGGACTATGACCCAGTGTTGACAAATTTCCACGCTTGGCCATCTTCCCGAGGCAAGAGAGTTAACTGACTTTAAAAGTCCAGTTTCCATCCTTGCCGAACTAGGCTGGTATTGTGGAGTTACTTTTTGGCTGTACTAACAAGTCTATGCATAGTCCAATCAAAATCGTGCACCGAAATCAAAATCCGGTACGTAAACGGTCATGCAGATTTCGATCAATTGCAGAATTTGCAAAGCATGTGCACCGCCAACTCATTGTCAGCAGATATTTTCCAAATCCTTTCATGTTTGTAATCAAGGGGCTCACGTGATTTGATGCATTTCGCGATGTAAGACCCGTTTTATCACAATATAGATCTTGATTATCGAACAGATTGTCCTGACTGGGCGCCACCATTTTGTGTGAAGCAAACGCAAGTGATACGAGAGGTGGCATCTGATTGGTCCATAGGAGAGGTTTAGAAGGGACATAATTGGTATTAGCAACAGGTGGCGCAGCGATCAAGCCAAGTAATTCCAGCCTAGTTCGGCAAGGGTGGAAACTGGACTTTTAAAGTCAGTTGACCCTCTTGCCTCGGGAAGATGCGCTAGGCTTGCATGTGAAAGGTGTCGTCTCGGTGTGGACGCGCTGCCCCTGGGGGTTATCACATAGATCATGTTGTGTTCAAACGACATTGAAACAAACCCGGGGCCTATCTCTCTAGAAGAAGTAAGAGATTCTCTCCTACGCGACGTCAAATTGAAGTTAAGTTCACAAATTACAACTCTAAAAACTGAAGTGAACACAATCAACTCTAAATGTGGTCAACTTAAGGTAACAGTTACACTAATCAAATCTGATATTCACGATTATGTATACTGACATTGATGCTGTTACTGATAAAATTGAAACTGAAGTAGAACGTAGAACGTCTATCTAAGATATTGATGACAATATGGACAAACTGGAATCATTTAGCAGATGTGATAATGTCATTCTCCATGGTGTACCTGAAGCAGAAATTGAGAAATCGATCGCTTGCAAGGAAACGTTGATGTCAATTTTTAAAGAAAACGTAACATTTAAAACATGACATTCATCTGACATTATCCATGCCCATCGCCTTGGAATAACATGTCGAAATGTGGAGAAACAACGCTCTATAATTGCCAAGCTTCTGATATCAGACGACTTGGTTCGAGCTCTGAAAGCTAGACCCGTGCGTAAGGCAGACAGGCTTGGAATTTCAAGCTACTTGATCTCATGCCAAGGTCAACAACTCAGTGCTCTTAAAGACACCTGCCCTTTTGGTTACTTTAAGAACAGTAAGCTTGTGACAAAACCTTGTGAAAGTTCGAATAGTACCTCCCGTACTCAACAGGAAACACCCCAACGCAGGTGAGGCAGGGTCACTCAAGCTGTCGAACAGGCAACTTACATAGCACAATGGGCAAGGCCCGGATAATATACCATATGGATGGAATAGATCAAACACCGATAACACGATCGATTTTATTAGCGCTACTGTGAGTGATGATGAGAAACTAACTTTCTTATGTTTGAATGTAAATGGATTGAGACAAAAAGTGGATGACAGCGACTAAATCTCTTGCCTACGCAAATTCCAAATAGTGTGTCTTGTAGAAACATTAGTATATGATATGTCTGACATTAATTGGTTAGATGGTTATTATGTCTTCTACAGCTGCGCAATAAAATCATCTGAGGATGGTCGACTCTCAGGTGGCGTGTGCATATGTTTCCAACATTCAATTAGTAAGTTTTGCAAGGTTAATAACATCAGATATTGATAATTTTGTATGTATTAAAGTAGCAAAACAGTTGGTCTCTGTTGACAGAAAAGATAAATTTGATATGTACTTATATCCCACCGTCTGGCTCGCCATACTGTAACATGAGTAACTCTAAATGTAACATTGAACTGCTTGATCAGTTCTTATTTGAAAACCTTTCAGAAATTAGTGATTCTTACAAAGTTATTTGAGGTGATATCGATGCACGTACAGGTGAAAAAAACAACCAATGTGTCAACTTTGATGATGCTTTTGATAAACACAACATTCCATTTAATGAGGAGGAAGATCTACCTATTGATGATCGTATATTCCGTGATGGTGTGATAAACAGATTTGGGCAGATATTGTTAGACATGTGTTTTTCATTCCAGCTATTTATTGTTAACAGCAGGGTATATGGAGACGCAGGAGGGGAATATACATATTGTGGTCACCAGGGCTGTAGTGTGAATGATTACTTTATCTGTTCTCCAGATCTTCTTCAATACACTGACATGTTAAACATTGGAGATCATATAGAGTCCGATCTTTTACCATTAGAATTGAAATGTAAATTCCCAAACATGAACAACCAAAATGAAAAGCCAACATCTGGTTGCTTTAAAGAAAAGATTGTTTTGAATGAATCCTTTTGTGAAACGTTTTTAAACAGCCTGCAGGAGAGGATGGTGTCTAAAAATTGTAATCAACTACTTTTGAGTAAACTGGATTTTAACATAGATGGGGCCATGGATGATTTCGTCCATGTTATCTTAGATTCTGCAGATTGTATGGGGAAAAGAACTAGAATTATGCATTATCAACATACCAAGGCACCAAGTGACGAATGTAAGATGCTCGATAAGCACTGAGAACATTTAGACGTAGACGTACTGACTCCAATAGAAATATCCACTGCAAAAAGAGGAATCACTACAAATCCTGCTGTAGGAAATATAAATCTGACTTGTGTAAATTTAGGCTAAAAAAACAGGGCGCATTAGATGACTTGGCCACCCATTCCCCCCCAGACAGTTATAAGGGAATAACCTTAATGAGTATTCTTGGAAGGATTTTTACAACAGTACTTAATTCCAGAATTACGAATTGGGCTAACATGCGAGAAAAGATTCGCGAAAACTCAAGCTGGTTTCAGAAAAAAATACTCAACGTCAGATTATATATTCACATTATATGCAATATTCCCAAAATGTCTATCAAGTCGGAAACACAAAGCATTTGTAGCCTTTGTCAATTTTAAAAAAGCTTTTGACTCTGTTGATCATTATAAACTATGGTACTGTTTAAGAACTACTGATGTTCAGGGGAAAATGTACTCTACATTTAAAGCTACGGTATGTATTCAAATATCAAATCATTTGTACGATGTGGTGATGATGTAACCAATTTCTTTCACTGTCCTGTTGGCTTACGACAAGGATGTATCTTGAGCCTGATATTGTTCTCATTTTTTATAAGTGAATTATATTATGAAATTATGGCTATGGGTAAACATGGTATTCAAATGTTCCCAAATGTAATGGAATTTTTTATGCTTCTTTTTGCCGATGATGTCATTTTAGTATCAGATTCTGTTGTTGGACTACAAAAACAACATTTAAGAATGTTACACCGAAGAGTGGAAATTATCAGTTAACTATCATCAAACAAATATTGTCATTTTCAGAAGAGGGTTTTTTTCGATGGTAAACGTGTTAATGTTCTGAGCCATTATACATATCTTGGTGTAATGTTTACCCATACAATGAACTTCAAGAAAAGTGTCTCAGACATAACATCACTTGCAAAGAAGGCCTTAATCAATGTAATGTCTGTCTCGCAGAAAGTAGGAGCTTTTACACCGAATATATTTTTTGGGATAATTTGATGCCCAAATTCAACCTATCCTGTTAATATGGATCAGAAGTATGGGGATTTCAGCCATATGATTGTCTCAAAAAGCTACAACTTTTAGCCTGTAAAAATTCTTATCCATTGTTCCTTCAACACCCAATTGTATGGTCTATGGCGAGTGTGGCATATAACCATTATACATCAACTTCCAAATTATATGTTTGAAATACTGGTTTAATATTCTTGGAATGCATGAACGCCGAATCCCCAAACTTGCTTATAACATGCTTGTACATTTAGATGACATGGGCAAAGTAACATGTGCATCACATATTAGAAACCTTTTGTTTTCTCATGGCTACGGCTTGGTATGGTTAAACCAAACAGTTGGTGATGTTAAACTCTTTTTGAAACAATTTCGTGAACAATCTATAAGTATGCTTTACGAAGAATGGCATTCCACTCTAGAAAACAGTTCAAGGTATGACATGTATAGAACTTTTAAGAGTCTTATTCAACCAGAAAAATACTAATCTACATTAACATCAAGAACCCTTTGACATCTATTTATTCAATTTAACTTCGATTGTTAGATCTCATGATAAATGAAGGAAGAAAAATGTCCACTGAAAAGTCGAAGAGGTTATGCCCATTTTGTCATTCAGCTATAGTAAATGAAATTCAGTTTACTTTTGTATGTCCTTATTATTGTCATCTAAGAAACAAGTTTATACCAGAACGCTATCAGTCAAATTATCCTGTACCTGCCTGTGTTTTTCTTCTTTCGTCAAAAGTTGATGCTGTCATATTAAAACTGGCCATGTATGTTAAAAATGCAATTTCCCTCAGAAACAAATTGTTAAACAAGAGTATATATCCAAATATGTAAAACTGCTTACCGTACATGTAACTCCTTTGTATATGGGCCGGAGGAATGACATGCAATAAAAACTTTGACTTTTGTTTAACTTTGACTCACCAACAGCCCAATCACACTTACACTCCATTGTGTTTGTTGTAGTACAAAACTTTCCCATCCTTCATTGTAACCTCAGCATACAGAAAATGTAAAGCAGGTCCTAAAACATGAGAATATAGATCTCATAAAGGCAAAATATGGGCTGCAATTTCATTTTGGACTGTATTATCATGTGGTTAATCTTTACTCAGACAGCCTGCCCAATGCAGGAATTAAAGTCGACCAGACAAGATGAAGAAATACCCTTTGTCACAGACTGTGATTATCAAAGATTTTTTTGTGATGTTTCAAAAGTTAGAATGGTTTTTCAAATGGCTTTTGTCCTAACCAAGCCCATGTAGACAATGACAGAGCTATCTAACCTGTGTGTGCAGGAGTGGGTGTTGTACCATCATGGTATCTCTCCTGACTCAGCATCCAAGTCACAGCCTGTCTCTGATATTGTCTTAACACTGGCTTCAGGCATGGGTGCTGCACGTCTACACACAGAGACTTTATCCTTTCAATGTGGCACTTCTTCACACCTTCAAATAACTTATCAAAGTCATATTTTTCGGTCCTGGACAAGCCATCAAAGTCTGAAAAGAAAAAGACAGATCAAATAATATGAAATACATTAGTTATTTAATGAATAGAAATGAAACTTGGACCATTAATGTGACTTCAGTGGTAATTGATGTTGAATATTGTTAACAATATATTTACAGGGTGTCAACATACACACTGTGACTGCAGTCCTCCAGTAAATGCTATCATAATTTTATCATTCACGGAAGAATCACATCATTAGCAGTGTTTGTCTGAGATAAAGATTCAGATCATAGTGAAAGGCCCTCGTGCACAAGTTCAATATTATGTTGACATTCATATATAGAAGTTGTGAATATCAGAGAAAACTGCATTGTCCATGTTCACTCCCTCTGCATAGTTGTAACTTTCCGGATTTTCATGTTATATAACTGGACGTGTTTGCTTTTACTTGCAAAAACAGACGCAGCCCTATCACTGCCATTTCCTCTGTACTATGTACTTCCAGTCCAAATACATTACTTCCAGACCCTGATTTTAATCAAGACAACTGCCAGTTACAGCCTTTCAACACCCTGACCGGCTTCCTACTTTATGTTCTATTAATATTACATTCCTCTGCCACATACAGTTATAGACAAGGGGTTATGTGGACCTCAGCTTCTCAGCTGATGACTGTCGACAAGTCCCAAGCAGCATAACATTATAAAAGCTTCTCAATAAATACAAAGAGTTGGTTGATGCATGTCAGCATATCCCAATGGCATGGATCGATGCTCATGATGTCAATCACTGGATTGTCTGGTCCAGACTCAATTATTAACAGACCTCCATCACATAGCTGGAATATCGCTGAGTATGGCGTTAAACAACAAACAAACAAACAAACAAAAGTGTCTGAGTCAAAATATCAGTATAGGGATATACATATATATATATAGGGGCATGATCTCATGTCAGGTTAAATCAGGATCTAATATCAAAATAATCAAAATTGTACAAGTAGAAGATAAACATACTGTGTTTTCAATGTAGAGCTAGGTTACCTGTAGATTTAACGTCACTAAATTGAATTTAGAACCGAATGCGCAGCGTGAAGTTTCAAATGTTAAATTTAGCGTGGTTAAATCTACAGGTACCCTAGCTCTACATTGAAAACACAGTATGTTTATCCCCATTCTACCATGACTAAATAAAACGCAAACTCTTTGGTGTTAACAAATATACTGAGTGAAGCGGCATTGGTTGAGTCCAGTATTTTGAGTGGGTTATCGATCTGAATTACGGAATCACAGAACAAAATATGGTGCTGTATATACTCAAGCAGTTTGTTTACACCGTAATACTTCACTCGAACATATGACAGGCATTGAAAGCATATTAATAAGCACGGCAACTTGGTAAGCTAACATGAGGTGGGAATCCCTAAAGAAAACAAAGCAAGTTTTGCAAGGCTTTCGCTCTACATCGCAGGTCACCATTATGACGTCATATCGCTCATTATGATGCAAAAGATATGACGTCACAGTCATATATAGAAAAGCGCCAAAATTCCAAGCTTCCTGTTGTCGCCAAAACGAAAATACATTCCCTTTGAAGATTTCTATCATGTTTTCTGTATGAAATGTATTGCCACACATCCTTTGGATATTGTAGTAACCGCATCTGTGCATTTTGTAACCTGTAATTGTAGATATAATTATTTAAATATGCCTACCGACAATGACTGAAAATAGTACTATTCTATGAATATTAGCTTCCGTGGTGATGCGGCCGTCAAACCAGCTGTTTCAATCAGAGGGGGTTTATTGTGATTTAATAGCCTCTGATTGACCAATCAGAATCGAGTAAATTCCAAATTCTTGTTAGAATATGTTTTAAAGCCAAGTACCAAATTACAGTTTATTAGTGGTAAATAGCTGCTGAATTATTGCTGCATATGTGTTTTTACATATGGCTGCTGAGGTACATCGCAGGACAACAGGCCTGAGGGCAACAAATTTGTTAATAAAATGAAACTGCATACAAAGTGCATGTACTGATCCAATAAAATATGTACATCAGGAAACAATGTTCCTTGTCACCATGTCTCTTTACAGAAGAGTTTCATGCACCATATGCAATACTCTGCAGTGTACAGTTGTATACATGTCAGCATTGATATTCTTTCTATAACACTGCAATGAATTTCTTAAGGGAAACATTAACAATTTGAAAAGTATAAAACAGTAATGAAATTCTTAGCATCCTGTAGCAGAGAATGGTGGCAATACAGTATCCTTATCAGACAAGTGCCTGTGTTTTGTTCACATAAAGACTATAATTGGCCAAAAGCGATGTTTCACAATAACCTCAAAGATGACCTTGACCTTTGATAGACATAACATAAAAAATAGATGCAGTAGAATTTGTAAAGGTGCATGCACACATACTCTCCATACATATCCACTATAGTATGATGTCCAGAACGCTTTAAAACAGTAGTCTTTGGAAATGCATGGTTACACATGTATACATAGGTGTGTGATCTTTGACAAATCCGAAAAAGGGGTCACAGGTAGTTGATAAATATAACAATTATACTCTAAAAGAAGGTAGGGTATCGTGAAATATTAATGTTATTATTGGACGTAGAAATATCAGCTTTGAAAAATGACAGGCAGAAATAGAATGGTTTCTGAATTAAAACCTTGCATGGGGTGAAACATTGCACATGGACCATACAATTCCTTCTGCACTTGGAGGAATTAAAGGACCCCTTACCATGGGTCATTCTTGATTTTGGCCCCTCAGTGAAATGTTGTCAAATGTCTCCAAGCCATTAATATTGTGGGTTTTCATTAGAGCGGAGGCAGTTATTTCCGATATGGTAAGGGCTAAATCCTATGCAAATAAGAACATAGTGCATTTGGGCGACGAGTTCTCTCAAATGTGGTTTCGGTCAACTATTACCACAATATGAAGTGTGGCTGTATTTTTTGTGTAGTGGGTTTGTAACACAGCACGAAAACGCAAACCCAGAAGTTCAGCATTTATCGATGAAGGGTGGGTCTGACGATGACTTTGGTCGGAAATTACCGATAATATATATTGAACTCACACCTTTAAGTAATTAGTACCTGTGTGTTGTGCTAAAGATATATTTATGACATCCTAACCATGTAAGACCCAAAATAATATCAATGTGGTAATGTGACGAGAAGACGGCGATAGACTTTAGCCTGTTTCTAAATTCCTTCGATTACAGAAACGCTAAATATGCTTTGGATACATATTTCTTTTGCAACAAGCTTTGTTGTTGTAGTCACACAATTTCTGCCACTGACTTTATGATGGTTTGGAGAAGGAATATTCTGTCGCCAGACAAAAAAGAAGTTATCACAGACCTGCATGTGAAAAGTAAATCCTGCAGAGAAATAAGTCAACTGACAACTTTAATGAAAACAGGCCTGTGTCCAAGAGAACTGTTCAGCGTGAAGTATATCGGGAAGGCTATCACAGAAGGATTGTTCGCAAACGCATCAGAATTCAAGATAGTCAACATGTAACAAACATGAAAGAAAGTTTTGTGGTGCCGATCTAAACTGAGAATGACAATTATTGGATTCTGGGATAAGGAACTGTGTGTTTATTAATGAATTTAAGATAGAAATCAGGACTGACAACAGTGTATTTATGTGCTGCGAAAGGTGCAAGAAGATATTCGTGACATATGGGAATCTTTGACTGTTGATTTCAGCAAAAACTAATACGTGAGCATTCCATGTAGGATTTATAGGACTATATACAGCAAAGGGCTAATCTACATCACCAAATATTATGTATGTCAGTTTAATATTTTGTCTTTGGAGAGAAACAACAAATAGAACAAATTACACTTCCAGGTATGTGACGCCACTCAAGTATCTGTTAACATATGGCACAATACTGTATATAAATGAGACAGTGCAGCTGCAGTAACCTGAATACCACAGAACGTTTAACAGAAGTATATATTTTAATATACTCATTTATGAAAGAAAACAGATCAAGTCCAGTTGAAAGATTTAATTCATTTACATTCGTGAACCAACAACATGTTACCCTTTGCAAACGGCACCAAGAAAAAATGCCAGAATAACATTTAAGCAGAAGGCACATTCAAACTGCAGTGCTTCAATGTCTTCATCTGTCATTCCAAGAAAAATTGGATCCACACAAGCTTTGTGGTACCCCCAGGGACGCAGGTTACACCCGATCCAATCCTGTGGTACATTATTCTCTGGACCCTTGCACATGTCATCGCTATAGGCGTCATCTGAATTGTCATCCACAGAAAACTCTCCTTCGTCAGATGTCGCACTGTCATTTTGGTTCAACTCTTTCTCTCTTTTCTTCATTTCTCGTTCAGCTTTCATCTCTCCTTTTCTCTCTGTTTCCTAATTTCCTCTCTCTCTTTCTTTTTCAATTCCCTTTCTTTCTTTTTCTTTGCTTCTGATTCTAATCACTCTATTTTCTTCTGTTCTCTTTTTAATCGTTTTCTTATTTTTCCCTCTCTTCTATATTCCTTTTTTCCCCCTCCTCTCAAAAATCTTTAAGTACTTTTCACCTGTGACAGCTTTGGCCATTGCCACTCGCTTTTGACCCCGCCCTGGTTTCATCGTAGCTAAAAGTATTGCAAGATATTTCTCAAAGACTGATGGAACCTTGTCGCATGAAGTGGTATCTGCAATATTCTGGACAGAAGCATCAGGGACACAAGACTTCATAACTAGCCAGATGTTGTACACTTCATCGTTCAGCAAGTCAGCAAAATGCTTGATGAAAAGTTGTGTCCTCTCTTCCCCCAGTGCAGCTAGAAAAGATGTTAATGACATTTGCTGTGTTGTTGTGGCTGAGGTCAGGGCTTCATGGGCAGAGGTAGGTTCTAGGTCAGGAGATGAAGGTGGTTCAGATGCTTCTTTTGTTACAGTGAAACTTTCCAACGGAGTTGTCGGGGCCTGCGCCGTCTCGGAAACAGGAACTGTTAACATGGGCTGGGTAGCAACAGGTGATGCAGTGGGGGTACCAC